GTTGGTATATCAACGATTTAACATCCCTTCCATTCACTATTTGACGAACAGCTTCTTTCTGCTCTTCCTTTTACTTAATTTGAGTATTATTTGTTTTTACAAGTGCAAAATATATTGCTTCTTGTAGTAAGCCTTCCTTGCATTCATTGCGGTCGCCATGTTTTTAGGGAGAAAGGCATATCCTGTGCGACCAAGCCTCTGCGTCGGAATTCCGAGGCAGATCAACAGCCTGACCCAGGGCCACTGTGAGGGCCGCCCGAGCTTGGGCCTGGGGACGAGGATGCATTACGAGTCACGGTTGTATTAGCTTTGTTTTTTTCTCCTGTTCACTTGTTTTGAATTCCCGTCGTCTTAAATGTATGTGCGATGGAAGCTGATGAGAAATTGCTTGTCGAAGATCCGTGGGTTTGTCCGAACGACAGAGAATTAGGTCTACGTGCCAAGTAAGTATCGAATTCCCTTTTAATGTTTACTCTGCTGTGAGGCAGTCGCTCGAATATTGCTTGCTGTCCTTTTGCATTTGCGAGCCTTGTTTTGTTTTGTGTTTGTATTGAATTTAGTCAAAATCTGCCATGTTTTCCTGGCTTTGTATATACAGTAACGACAGACGAGGATTCGTTTTGAAACGTTTGGCATTATTACATAACTACGTAGCGAAGCAACGCCATATATTACTCACTTTTGATATTAAACTTGTGATATTTATAACAAATTTTGACTGTTTAACTGCTCCATATTGTATAGCCATACCTGCTATTTAACTGGTCCATATTGTATAGCCGTATTACCCGAATGAGGTATAACTATTTACTAAGGCTTGAAATTGTATATGATCTTTTCTATATCACTGTATATGATCTTTAATATTTGTATATCACAACTTTGTGTAGAAATGTACAAAATATATAACAATATATACAGTACAGGCTTATCAGACTTGTTACAAGGTTGTTCTAACATGTCTGATACAGTCATGATATAACAAGAATGTTACAAGGTTGTTCTAACAAGTCTGATACAGTCATGATATAACAAGAATGTTACAAGGCTGTTCTAACAAGTCTGATACAGTCATGATATAACAAGAATGTTACAAGGTTGTTCTAACAAGTCTGATACAGTCATGATATAACAAGAATGTTACAAGGATGTTCTAACAAGTCTGATACAGTCATGATATAACAGGAATGTTACAAGGTTGTTCTAACAAGTCTGATACAGTCATGATATAACAAGAATGTTACAAGGTTGTTCTAACAAGTCTGATACAGTCATGATATAACAAGAACGTTACAAGGTTGTTCTAACAAGTCTGATACAGTCATGATATAACAAGAACGTTACAAGGTTCTAACAAGTCTGATAAAGTCATGATATAACAAGAGTGGTACAAGGTTGTTCTAACAAGTCTGATGCAGTCATGATATAACAAGAATGGTACAAGGTTGTTATAACAAGTCTGATACAGTCATGATATAACAAGAATGTTACAAGGTTCTTCTAACAAGTCTGATACAGTCATGATATAACAAGAATTTTACAAGGTTGTTCTAACAAGTCTGATACAGTCATGATATAACAAGAATGTTACAAGGTTGTTCTAACAAGTCTGATAAAGTCATGATATAACAAGAGTGGTACAAGGTGGTTCTAACAAGTCTGATGCAGTCATGATATAACAAGAATGGTACGAGGTTGTTCTAACAAGTCTGATACAGTCATGATATAACAAGAATGTTACAAGGTTGTTCTAACAAGTCTGATACAGTCATGATATAACAAGAATGTTACAAGGTTGTTCTAACAAGTCTGATATAGTCATGATATAACAAGAATGTTACAAGGTTGTTCTAACAAGTCTGATACAATCATGATATAACAAGAATGTTACAAGGTTCTAACAAGTCTGATACAGTCATGATATAACAGTCAAGAATGTTACAAGGTTGACGATACAAGGCTGTAACAATATTGTTATGTCATGACTGTATTGGACTTGTTGGAATGACCTTGCCACAAGTCTGATAATATCAACAAGCTTGCATTACATGTTGTTAACAGCTTGTTCCAAACTTGTTGACAACTTGGGACAAGCAGGGCGAACACAACTTGTTGGCAGCCTTGTTACGAACACTGAAAGTAATATCTAACACATCCCTGTTATTTAACCCATTGAGCCGCAATGCGCCCCAGTGCGCCCTAGTTATTTTTTTACTTCAGTCTAACGCCAGACGGTTTTACTCATCAATAGGGAAGCTCTGCAGCTTAATGGGTTAATTAACCAAAAATTCTGACAATGTCTCTAGTTAACCCATTGAGCCGCAATGCGCCCCAGTGTGCCCTACTTATTGTATTTACTTGTCTAATGCCAGACGATTTTACTTGTGAATGGCGAAGCTCTGCAGCTTAACTAAAGAGTTAATATGCAATTTTTTCATTTGTATACAACTGGTTTTCAGACTTGACAGTGGGTGGTCGTTCTACACAAACAGACAACAGACAGGGAAAAAACTGTTAATAAAAGAGGATGAAATTGGAACTATTGAAGCAATTATTAAGAAGGCAGAGGAAGTCACATTGAGGGAAGAATATCGCATTGGGTGAGAGAATCTTATATAATATTGTACCTTGAATTCAATGTGTGAGGGTAAATAATTCAAAAAGATTCCACTGAGGGTAATATTTCGTGAGTATGAATAGTGATGTAATTATTCTTACCACTTGCGATATGAGAGCAAATTAGACATGAAAACTAGTTGCTCAGAATAAAATGCATGAAGAAACTTCTAACTGACTTTATTAAATTTAAGATTCTTTTATTGTAATATTTTTGAAATTTGTAAATGCTGCGATTCAGCTTTGTGAATTTCTTAATAAATCTATCTAATATAACAGGAGGCTTGTTGATCGTCTTGAGAATATAAAGAATAATGCCCAAGGCAATGGAATTACGACATGTCTACTGTGTGATGAAAAGTTTGGAAAGATTACAGCGACACCAATAAAATGTAGCATTTGTGAAAAGGTAGTATATGCAACTAATGTTTGTATTGCTTACACAGCTGAGCTATATGCTTGAGGTATTATGGGAAACCTAGTCTATACCTTACAACAATCATTCTATACAGTATAAAGTAGGAGTTAATTCTGATTGGTCTCCACAATCCATATAATGTTTGTATTGCATGTACTGAGCTATACATGCTTGAGGTATTATGGGAAACCTCTATACAATACAACAACCATTCTGCAGTAAAAAGTAGGCGTTAATTCAGATTGGTCTGCATTTGATAATGTTTCGTGTTGTATCACTTTGTTATAGGCTGCTTGTGGCAAATGTGGAGTGGACACAATGAGTAGTGGAAATGTCCCCATCTTTCTTTGTAAACTTTGCAATGAGCAAAGAGAGGTAAGACTGCAGATCTCTGACGTGAAAAGGAGCATTAGGGCCTGTTTATATGGAAGCTGTTTATATTGAGATCTCACTGTGTAGTTATTTTTATAGTAAAAATGATCGTGCATTTATATGGACAAGCTGGCTGGCCTGGTTGCCGAGGTCTCACTTGAAAGAGGCGAGATCTCGCTTACCGGGTTGGAAATTTTTCCATATAAACATTCACAGCTGGCTAGCCCGGTTTACCAGGATGAAAGTTTAAGGATGCTGCCGCAAGCTATTTTTAACAACTGTCAAAACCATATCAAAACAACAAAATTGCCCGGCAAGCAGGATAAAATTTTCTGATATAAACACAAGAGAAATTTATCCCACTTACCAGGCTGTCTCGCTAAGCAGGACAGCCTGGTAAGTGGGATAAATTTCTCTTGTGTTTATATGAGAAAATTTTATCCTGCTTGCCGGGCAATTTTGTTGTTTTGATATGGTTTTGACAGTTGTTAAAAATAGCTTGCGGCTGCATCTTTAAACTTTCGAACTTTCAAACTTTCATGCGCTGTCAATGACTTAATTCCACAACGATTGCTGGAAACAGCTAATTGTTAACGTAGTCAGCCAGCCAATAGCAATGAAAATCGCTTGCCACTGGCTAGAGTGGAAAATATTTTTGAAACAGTTAATTCAGTGGAGTAGTAAAGATCTACAAGTTTACTCTTGACTGTCAATCAGTTTCTGAAATTAGTTCATTTCTAAATTGTAGCACAGAGTATCTACAAACGTTTAAACAATTAAGCTTTCTTGTGTTGGTATTATTGTACTCACTAGGTGAATATGATGTGTGTGATGTTACTCTGAGTGTATATCCACACCCAGTACAATAATACCAACACAAAAAATCATGATTACCAGATTGCATTGATATCAAAGGAACTAGACTCAGTTCCGAAATATCACATACTCAAACCGACCTGACCGCGTAGCTGAGTTGGCAGAGCATTGGGCTAGTATTCTAAAGGTTGTAGGTTCGATTCCCACCGTGGCCAGGCATATTTTTCAAGCTTGCCCGGTGTGGATACACACCCAGAATAACATTGCAAACATAATTATAAGCTTTCGTTGGTAAAGATGCAACTGCCACATTTCAAGTGAAGGCCCTTCATTGGTAAACTTTTGAACGCATGTTAGGATGTCTAGGCAGTCTTTAAGCCAGCGTAGAAACACTGCATGGGGAAAAACCTCTTGAGGAAATATGTTATTGACAGTAAGTTCTCATCTTTGTAGTTTTGGAAGAAATCTGGAGCGTGGTTCTTTCGACAATTGCCAAAACACGAATTACCATCTGCAAGAGAGCGCCATTACATGGCGTCAGGGGTAAGACGAGATTATGAAAAGAGTATGCTAGCTTTTGCAGAAGTGCGCTTTTCAGAAAAAATTGGCAAAGTAGAAATTTTGTCCATCTGTTTGGGTCGAGAAAGAAAGTTTCACAAAGTAATTTGCATGTGGTAGATCGCTGATAATAAAAGCAAAAACTTGTCCTAGAAACTTTATTGTGCGTACATACTAGCTTGCAATTGACAATTAATAAAACTTGTTATACGAACACTTGTCATGGAAAACTTTAACGTCTGTATATAACCAGCTTTAACGACAGTCTTGATGTTGTTATTGTTACGCAAGGTATTTATATACGCAATGGTTTGTTTTGTAGAGTTTTATTGTGTCGACGCCTGAACTAAAGAACAAAAAGGGAAACTTATTGAGCCAAGCAAGTGGTATGTTTAATGTTGAACCGTGTATATGAAAAATTACTATATCATAATATCTATACAGGGCTTAAAAAATAAATGAGAAACGCCGTACGAGGTTGTACACGCTGTACTATTAAAGTTGACATACGTTTAATGGATGTTGACGCACAATTTTGTACACTAGTTTTCGTATAAAATTCCCATATAAAAATGCGTTTGAAATGCTGGATTTAAGGCCCACACAGACCGGACGCGATTTGGCAACGCGACGCGAATTTTCAGTTTTTAATGACATTTAACTTGTCTTTAATATGTTTCTATGTTTCTCAAATTTTCGGAACTACTTAAGCAATTTCAGATATTTGGTCTGCATATCTTGTAAAATTTTTACCCGTTGACGGTTTTATTTGTTTTTGAAAACTGAAAATTCGCGACGCGTTGCCGAATCGCGTCCGTGTGTGGTCTGTGTGGGCCTTTAAACGACGTAACAAACTTTAAGATGGCGTCCGGGATTCGAGAAGTGAACTCAATGTTTCTAGATCAATGTTTCATGTTTAATTGTTATAAATATATGGATATTTCAGAATCAGGGTTAGAGGCGAATGTTTGTTCATTGTCTGAAGGATTTTAAGACAAACAGAAAGGATCGAGTAAAGGTTCAACTCTGATGTAAGAAGTGTACGCGATCATACTTGTCTGAAATTCTTGGCCAAGCTAATTTCGGCGTACAATCATAGGTCCGTACGCCTATTTTTTAAGCCCTGAATATAATATCTAACGGCCTGTTCATATGGGCAAAAGTTATCCTGGTTAGCGAGAAAACTTTTCGATTAGCCAAATACTTTCGTTCTGTTCATATGGAGAAACTTTATCCCACTTACCTGGTAGAGTTTCCGGCTGTGACGTGGCACTGAACATCAATTGAATTGGAAAGTTGCTGACACGAGGAAAGTTATCCCGCTAAGCGGGAAAGTTGTGTTCATATGGGAAAAACATCCTGGTCACCGAGATCTCGCCTGTCAACAAGCGAGATCTTGGTACACGGGAAAACTTTTTGTCTCATATGAACGCAGTGTAACTTTTCATATTATTTTCATACCAAGGCGAGATCTCGCTTGTAAACTTGTCGAAACGTTTTCTCACTAACCGGAATAACTTTTGCCCATATGAACAGGCCCTAAGAAATAGAAAATATTGTCCATGTTTCTATAAAGTTCTATGGAGCTGAAAGAGTTTTTGGAGGGCTCAAGAGGGAGAGTTTATGGAGAGAGGGGCATGATTGAATTACTAAATATAATTTGAAACAGTTGAATAACATCATCATCTTTCATTTCAGAAATGTATTCAGATTCAGATGTGGAGTCAGATGTTTCTTCTGAAGCTGATGATCACACCAGAAGACGCGCCGCCTATCGCAAGTCGCAAGCTAGCGTGAGCCAACACGAAACATACCGTGAGTTTGGGTTTTGTAGATGGAGATTTTCAGTGTGAATTTTATATATTTATCACACCTAACCAGGAACAGTTGTTCAGAATCTTGATACTCACCCGTACACCTTTAACAGAGCGTGGAATAACGGCGGGTCAACGGACAATGTCCAGCCAGAATACGGAGTTGCCAAATTCTTACCATGCCCGTCATTTTGACCGCTCACTTTCGGTAAAAGAACAAACTAATCTTCATTTGAATTAATCATCAAAATAAAGTTGTCAAGTATTATAATTAAGAAACCATAACATGTTATCGAATATTTTGCGGGAATAGAACTTCAATGTACGCCAGCTTTCCCACGCAGCACATCACAAAGCCCATGGGCCATGCCGCCATGCTTAAGAGTTAAGGCCATGGTTTTAGCGCAGTGCAAGCTATTTTATGTGAAGGAGTTTTTAATTACTGATTACAGTAATGCTTTTTGTAATGCTGCACTGGGAAAATAGTCACATTTTTAGAGAATATACTTTACTAGGCTTTGCTTCAAGCTGAATAACTTGACCGGTCAGAAATTCGGTATGTCCGAGCTAAAATTGAGTTGGCTGGTCACCTTGACCGCCGACCCTCAAGCCGTTATTTCGCGCCCTGCCTTAAGATTCGCATGCTTTACATTCACGTCGCAAAACGAAATTGTTTTTATGTTCAGAACACGATGATGAAAACGATGGACACAAGGCTGGCGTTGATGACTACAGTTCTCGTCATTCGTCAGTGTTGTCGTTAGATGACGATCGTCTATCAAGATCTGAAACTCCTAGTCCATCTCTCTCCAATCAGCGCGGCTCTCAGCATAGTGGTCATGATGTGTCCGAAGATGAATCCGAGTCTAGAAATAGTATGATACTTCGTCGGAGTCCATTGATGGGTAGGTACTGTACGAGGCTCACTCAATAGTTTCAGATCAACGCTTCAATGTCACGAAATCGTATCTGCTCTCGCGAAGATGTCTGTTTTATTCTCTGGACATTTTTATCATTGAACGTTTACATTTTAGTTCGCAAAAAGAAACGGCCCAGCAACGGTAGCGTTGACAGGAGGGGAAGTGGAGTTTCGTGGTCAAGCGATATTGTATCTGAGCAGAACACGAGTCACGCGTCTGGGAATGAAAATACAGAGGATGAATTGTACGCAGTTGATGGCGCCAGGGGCGAATTGAGAGGTATATATTTATTGCTTTCAATACAATGCAACATCTATTAGCAGACACCTTCGGGACCTCACCAATGTTCCGCTTAAAAGGAGTGCCTTCTTAAAACGTGTTTGCAACAGTGAATATAGCAGGAGTTAACGCCCAACTAATTTAGGAACAGTAGTAATCAAAAGATATTATAAACATGTCAACGGAGGGGCTGGTTATGCTGTCGAACTTCTATGTGAGTTCAAGTTTCGACAATTAAAAGAAAGAAAAGTTCAAGTTTTTAGCGTTCGTATACAACATAGAAATACTGCGAAATATTATATGTGTGTAGTGAATTGTCTTCAAATTGATTTTTATCATGGATTGTTATAAAAATTTGATTGAGGATATTTATGTTCATCTACTTTTTCAAACTATATTCGAACGTGGCATTCGTATGCCGCTGGAGTTGTCACGAAGATTGTGTTTAATATTTCCTTATTGAGTGTAACAATTAATTGCTCCTATATGAAGTATTTTAAACATCATTTTCCGTTTAGCCTTCATTCTGTGTGTTTGAAGTGTATAAGCCTGTTCCTGTCCACGATTCCTCGCCATTTCAACAAGAATGTTTCATGTTCTGCGAGGCGTTTAGTCAAGTTGTAGAAATGTGCATTTTCTTGTTCTGTAGGTCCACTTGGTGTCATTGAGTTCACTGTGAATTTCATAAAGGATGCGAGGCGTCTCGATGTCCACATACATAATGCCAAGGTGATGTAATTGAAAAACATTCATACGATGAGATGTTACATCAAACTTAAGTTTGTGTCAGTTCGTGGTAATTTTCAACACACATGACAAAATTTAAATGGATGAATGGCAGGCCATATTTTCCCTCTACTTCGAGCTCTGCACTTCAACCAACATTTTCACCGAAATTCTGCCTTGTTTTTATAGGGATTACGGGCCATGGATTCAAATGGTTTATCTGATCCTTACGTGAAAGTACATCTTTTGCCAGGAGCTAATAAGGTAATAATAATTTCTTCATAATTACGCAGATTGACTTCGTCAGATCTATAAAGTTCTGTTGTCAATGAACGAGCGCTTGTATCTAACATATGGAGTATCGAGAGTAAAATATCGATTGTACTATTTAAAACACGAACAGAGTGATATTTGTGCTGTCACTGTGAGTGTATATCCACACCGGACAAGCTTGAAAAATATGCCTGGCCACGGTGGGCATCGAACCTACGATCTTTGGAATACTAGCTCAATGCTCTGCCAACTGAGCTCTGCGGTCAGGTCGGTTCGAGTATGTGATATTTCGGAAATGGGTCTAGTTTCTTCAACATCAATGCAATCTACTGATCATGATATCGAACCGACTTGACCGCGTAGCTCAGTTGGCAGAGCATTGGGCTAGTATTCCAAAGGTCGTAAGTTCGATTCCCACCGTGGCCAGGCATATTTTTCAAGCTTGCCCGGTGTGGATTCACACTCAGAGTAACATCACAAACATCATGTTCACCTGAGTACATTACACCAACACAAAAATCACGAACAGGAGTGCTTTATCAGATATAAAACACGAGAGCTCAGCTCGAGTGTTCGTGTTTTGAATGGCTTAAAAAACGACCCATCTGTTGGAGTTCATTGGCGAAGTAATAGGCCAGTATAAATTCATTATAGCCCGCCCTGAATTATATATATTCCCGGCGTATTACCTGAAGCGGCAATTCGGGGTAAATACGACTCACTGTTAGTCACCGCGGTACATGGAACACAACGGAGCCCATACTGCTATAATACTACTTCAAAACCCTGTTAGTTAGTAACATTGATTGACGAAAATACCTTTTCACATCGCTAGGGCAACAAAACTCGAACTCGAACACAGCACAAAACTTTGAATCCAATGTTCAATGAAACGTTAACATATCATGGCGTTACAGAAGATGATATGAAGAGCAAAACGTTGAGGTCAGTCATCTTTTACTCAATATCGTGTCCTTATATTTACTATTAATTGTTTTATAATTATAGTAACTGTCTCTCTGTAGCTCAGTTGGTTAGAGCTTGACAACTGTCTCTATGTAGCTCAGTTGGTTAGAGTTAGACAACTGTCTCTCTGTAGCTCAGTTGGTTAGAGCTTGACAACTGTCTCTATGTAGCTCAGTTGATTAGAGCTCAACAACTGTCTCTCTGTAGCTCAGTTGGTTAGAGCTCGACAACTGTCTCTCTGTAACTCAGTTGGTTAGAGTTCGACAACTATCTCTCTGTAACTCAGTTGGTTAGAGTTCGACAACTGTCTCTCTGTAGCTCAGTTGGTTAGAGCTCGACAACTGTCTCTCTGTAACTCAGTTGGTTAGAGCTCGACAACTGTCTCTCTGTAGCTCAGTTGGTTAGAGCTCGACAACTATCTCTCTGTAGCTCAGTTGGTTAGAGCTCGACAACTGTCTCTCTGTAGCTCAGTTGGTTAGAGCTCGACAACTGTCTCTCTGTAGCTCAGTTGGTTAGAGCTGCACAACTGTCTCTCTGTAGCTCAGTTGGTTAGAGCTGGACAACTGTCTCTCTGCATGTGGCTCAGTTGGTTAGAGCGCTGCACCTGAATCGCGGGACCACAGGTTCTATTCCTGTCAGTGGATCTATATTTGCATTTTTTACAAGGGTCTTACAAATGTATAAAACACTCGAATTATCCATCTGCAAATCTCATCAAAATATTGAATATTTTTCCCACAGGCTGCAAGTTCTGGATGAAGACAAGCTAAGGAGAAATGACTTCATTGGTGAAACTGTTGTTCCATTAAAATCCATACTTATCACCAACAATAAAAAGATGCAAAAAATTCTTGAACCGAAGTCTGAGGTAATTACTAAATAAATGTAGTATTCAAAACATGGGCAGCAGTGTTTTATCAGATATAAAGATACGAGGCGAAGCTGAGTATTTTTAGGTCTGATAAAACACGCACTGCGAATGTTTTAAATTGCTTCAAAAACGATCGATCTAGTAAGTTCATTGGCGAAGTAATTTTCCAAAAATACGTTGTATAAGTCGAGAAAATCAAAGTTAAAGTTTATGTAAATCAAGGGAAATCTCTATCACATATAAACATACGACGCGCTTATGATTTTTCTTTGTGTTTTCCTCATGAATTATTAATGCCTTTTTGAATGTAATACTGTATAGTAACTTTCAATGTATAGTATGTATTTAACAGTTATTCTGCGAACTCGAGTCTTTGACTATCAGCCATGTAGACGAGAGTGAAGAGTAGAATAGACCTGGTTCCGTGATCCAGGTTCCGTGATCCAGGTTCCGTGGTCCAGATTCTGTGATTCTGTAGGAAAAGTCCCACCCTTGCTTATAAATGTTTTTCTTATTTTTTATGACTTCGTGTTGAACTACCAGACTGGAATGGACACTCCGGTAAGATCATACCTCATACAACATCATTGCATATTTAAAGTTGAAAATTTAATCTGACCTAGATACACGAATATAATTTCACTATGTAAACCTACGTGGACATATAGTCTATTGTTCATCAGCAAAATGCAAGCATAACTGAGTTTGTCATTGTTCGTTTTTATCAAAACCTTGATGAGGAATATATTGAATAGATCGTAGACATATTTTTTTTCTTGTTTTCCAGAGTCGTGATGATGGCCTTGGTCGCATTTATATGTCGTTGTGTTTTGTTTCCAAGGAGAGTAAACTAGTTGTTGGCATTTTACGTTGTTGCAGCTTGGTTGCGATGGATCTTAATGGTTACTCAGATCCCTACGTAAAGTGGTAGGAATATTCAACATATTTTTTATCATTGCGCTGATCGTAGGCCGAGGACGCGATTCAATTCCAAAGATACTTTGTAGTGATAGACGAATTCACAAAAGTGAGGGAAATTTGTCTAATATAAACCCAGTAACCAGAGGCGCCGGGAGGTAGCGCGGGGCCTGGGCCGCAAGGTTCCAAGCGGGCCCCTATGACGTCATTATTGTAAAACAGGAGAAGCGCTGTTTATAATATATTACACTTTATTCTATATTACGACAATAGCACAGCTGTAATGTACACATCGTTGCCTGCACATTTTGAGCTAGAGCCCCCAGTAAACACAAAGCTCTAGGAAGATGTTCTGTGACTGGTTGACTATGACAATGGCAAAAGACGTAATTGGCTTACATAAACAAAAGGAATATTGTCCTTGCTTCGTTCTTTAGAAATCCCTTCTATAGCTTATTCTTTTGTCATTGTCTTAATGACGTAAAGACGTAGAGTTAAACGGGAATTTCGTCTAGACAAGAAACTTCATAAATTTGCGACGGACAAAGCGTTGGCAGCGGAAAACTGGAGATCAACAAAATCCTGTTGAAAAACGATTTTTTCTTTTAGTTATTTGCTGCCTGATCCGAACAGAAAAACCAAGCGACGAACTAAAGTCAAGAAGCGAAACCTTAATCCAGAATTCAATGAGGTAAGCTTTTCAACCAAGAGGAATTTTTTTAATGTCGCGTATTTGCTATGAAAAGTGTTGAAAACCTAAAATCGTTTTGGTGTTACTCTCAAAATTACTTTGATTTAGCTTTATTTTGTAGTTTACACAGTAACACAGTTCGCAACCTTTTTATAAGTACAAAAGAATAGTTTAAAAATTGACTGTAAAATTGACGCCATATTTATACAGCAATATAAGCAAAAACTTACTGAACTTCAGACATCATTTTCTCTTTGGCGTACCATCTAAAATCTCTACATTTTAGCATCATTTTACAGATAAAGCACTAAACATACTTTCTAAGTTTGTTTGCCGCTTCAGAAATATACTCAAATTTAAAAATTTGAATATAGTCATAACCGTATATTCATTGAGCGCGTGTGACGTAACATACAAAAGATTCTTCTCTTAACAATATGTTGTTGTATTTTCACAGCACTTCTCCTATAAAATTGCCCATCATGAGCTGGCAAACCGCACACTCGAAGTGACAGTCTGGGACCATGATGTTGGAAAATCCAACGACTTTATTGGTAAGTTGAAGCAGTTGTTCCGATCTGTAAGTTTTAATCCTACATTCACCATAATAGTCAATAGAATAACACGGTTAAGAAACAGTATAAATATTCTGCCTTTAAATTTAGCGATTGAATTCGAAAGGTTACTCTATCTAGTTACAATGGTGTCAAGTAGCGGAGTAAATGTACTTCGTTACTGTACTTGAGTACTATTTTCGAGAAGTGAGCATGTAACAAAGTAAACTTTTTCTGGAGTACTTTGACTTGGAACGAAGTCGCTTTAAGAAGTAACGTTTTACTTCGTTATTTTCATTTTGTGGCGAAGTATTTCGTTACTTTCTAACTTTTGTTTAATGTTACGTGATTTATTCCTGATTTATTTTAATTTTGGGATAGGTAATACGACCTTTACATGCGTCTGGGATCTCTCGTCTGTGGTTTACTTATAAGCATTATTTATTTAATGGATTTCTTACATCTTCAACGGGGTCTGGAAAGTAGACCATGCCGTTAAATATTGTATATTAGGTGCACGCATAATTATAATGCGTGTGTTGTTTTGTGTCTTTTGTATGTCAATCCATTGGAGACCCCCCCCCCCCTACACGCTACAGACAATAGTACTTTTACTTTTTACTTCAAGTATTTTTTAAGGATACTTTGTACTTTTTACTTAAGTACGTTTTGCCTCCAGTACTTTTTACTCTTACTCAAGTCGTTTTATTGTTAATTACTTTTACTCGAGTACAAATTCAAAGTAATTTAGGCCCCACTGTGTAGTTGTAGTGTTGAGTGTGACACTGCACTGACGCTCATATTCTGTTTTTTGAAGGTGGCGTCCACCTCGGAATTCACGCCAAAGACTCGTTACTTAAACAGTGGTTCGAGGCTCTCAAATATCCTAATAAAGAATCCAGATACTGGCATGTCTTAACAAGAGAAATTACGTTGAATGAAGCAGAGTGAACACGATATGTTGTCAACAACGCTAAAAGTTACATCGCAGAATACGAACTTATACAGAAAAGGCTAATTTCCACTCAGGAAAATTATCCGTGGATTGGAACGGACAAGAAAATTTTTCTTTGTGTTAAAGTCATTAGTTCCAACCCAGAGCTCACAAGACAAAGAAAAATGTTCTTGTCCGTTCCAATCCACGGATAATTTTCCTGAGTGGAAAAAAGTCGACTTCTTGGTTTGGCGTAACCGTTGCAGTATTGTCGCCATGGTCCGGTGCTCTTATAACAGACATTCACCCCCCTCCCTGAATATTCAAAATGGTGGACTTTTTTGCAGCGGTTAACGCTTATTTCGCAGAGTCGACCTTCTGTTTGTCCAGTAGTGTAGCTAGCCCGACGATTTAGTCCCGCTATGCAAATATTTTCGTCTTCATTGACTGTGAAAACAATCAATTTCTAAAGAAATGAATAATGATAATAATTTTGAATTTGCATAGCGGGACTAAATTGTCGGACTGGATACACCGCTGTGTTTGTCTCATGCCATTGTTCATATAGTATAGTATAATATGTATAGGTTATCAGGGGCGAATCGTACGAAAGTGATGGGGGGGGGGGGGGGGG